GGAATAGAAACAGTGATGTGTTATGAAGATATATCCAACAGTAATTTTGTGGTACCTGAAAAAAAGGCAGGCTGATTCACTAACGGTTATTTTTATTTGAATGACTCATTGGAGGACACTGGGCAGCATAATTTTTTAAAAAATTCATAAAGGATGGTTCAAAGGCATTCATTATAATTTCATTAGTGCACAAGAGGCAGTTCTGAGTGGTTAAGTGCAGCCAATTTTATCTTGTATACGCCAGTGATCACTGCTACAGTAAAATAAGCATATCTGTGGCTTTCTAGGAACATTGTAGGTCTTAGCACCCTCCTGTAGCTGTAGGCACAGAACCTAAACAAGAGGAACTATGATCCCACCTGCCAGGGGACAGTGTTGTAGACACTCACCAGCCCAGTGCGATAGGTAGATTAAAGAAAAAACAACCAAAACCAAAACCACAAACCAAAAAATTAAGAAGAATTGTTCATGTCTAGATGCACTTAAATTAAAATGATCTGAAGAAAGAGATGGTCCTAATTTTCCTTGAGTTTTACAGTACAAACGCCAAGGAGGTCAGATGTGTCCTTTTCCTCCCTGGCTGCATGCATATTAACCAGCAATTTCTGCTGAGTTTTAAGAGGACATTAAGGTGAAGTTACATGTTACTGTTGAACCAACGTAAAGGCCAAATCCTGCCAAAGAAGGTGGGGGCTCAGGCCTCTGTCCATCTCCCACCTTCTCCCCACTCCTCTCTGCTCTGGTCCCTTAGGGCCTTTAGCACTCACACATCACAGACCTTATAGAAAACTGTCCACTTTTCTGGCAGGTTGGCTTTTTGCTCATTTCACAAGTCAGGTGAGCTCAGCTGAGAGGCAAACAACAACCACAGAAGGTGCCAAGGCTGGTGGAGGAAGGACCAAAGAAAGCACAGAAAGGGCAGTAGGAAGGAGGGGATAACATGGCATTGAGTCATTAGATGGCTCAGGATGTGCCCGGTACATTCTTAGAGAAGCAAACACAAGTTTTCCTTCCATCTGTTTGTTTCAGTGTTTGAATTAAACACAAGTTTAGAAAACAAAGAATTTGCATCTTCCTGCACAGACATTCCCTCCTGCTTAGTCATGGCAGGGATGCCGTGAGCCCAGCAGCTGGGGATGCCGTGAGCCCAGCAGTTGGAGGCGGTTTAGGATTCGGAACCTTTGGCACAGCAGACGTCAGCTGCTTCCTTTCCCTGTGCTTCACTTTTTCCTACTGTGAAAGGGAGACACTACCTACTCATTCAGGAGAGACCTGATTCATCCGTGGATGTCAAGCCTCGTCACAAAAGGAAGAGGGAAGCTGAAAGAGAGGACAATTTGCTGTCTACACCCCACTGCAGCAATTGTCACCTCTCAAACGACTGATGGAGAGTTCAGCTCCCACATCCACACACTGAAATCCCATTCTGAGGCTGTCGTGTCTCCCTGCCCATCCCCAGCCCAGGGATCGTACAATGCTGCTTTAGGTTGTATCATATCATGGGCAGTTGGTCATTATCCTCTGATGAACCAAACACTGCTGCCTTCACCTCCCATACCTGTGATCCATTCTCTTTTCTCATAATAGTAAGCCTACAGGGTGGAATTTTTGAGTGTCTGAGTGACTTAAAAAATCATCTTTCAAAATGACTGAAGGCTTCACTCAAAGGGAAATTCCCTGTCATTGCCATGCCAAAGTAATTATAGTCATACCACAAAAATTATCCTGCTATAATTATGCCGGCATGAGCCTCCATCTGAACAATATGCCGAGATATTTTCCCAGGCAGCCAAAATCCTCTGGCAGCTCTGGCTCCAAGCCTCCGGGAGGAAGGGATCTGTTCCCAAAAGCCCTCTTCTCCCTCACCCTGGTGCTTTAGAGAGCGACCTGAGATCTCCCGTTCCCCGGTACGCTTTTCCCCATCAGTGTTGTAGCTCGACTCCTGCCTTCCGCCAGCCTCTCCGACTCCTCCCAGGAAGTTCCAGCTGCAGATGAAGCATTTCTGAGACAGGGAGAGGGCAGCATGTATGCAAAGGCAGCCTGGGCACTGGTATCAGACTTTCACAGCGTAAGACAGCGTGGCTCAGCTTGATGTAAGTCAGTTTTACCCCCCACCATCCCTTCTGGGAGCTGCCTTGCGCCTACGTGTCTGTGCTTGCGGGCTGTTGCTGCTGCATTCGCTCGTGCTCCGGCTGTGGCGTTACACCCCACGGTGTGACGGGGTCAGGGGGACCCTTGTCCCCAAAGCCTTTTGGGTGCACCTGCGAGCAGCCAGGCTGGCCAGCACCGTGGAGGTGCTTGGGGAGCACCGCGACGGAGGAGATGGCTGGTGGCCCTGGGGCTGGAGGGCAGGAAGTGGTGAGTGAGCAGTCCCCGCGGTGACCTTTCGGCTGTCACCTCTGAAATCCTTCGTGTGCTCCGAACCGTGCACCTCGCCAGGGCGAGAGGTGCCCCAGCTCCCTTGCTGGGAGCATACACACAGCACAGCCTGAAATGCTCAACCAGGTGAGAGGCTCCCTGAGCCTTTCCCAGGCTTTTTGACTCTCTGGTGGTTGACCCCACTCCAAAACCTTGTCCAGGGCTGGGGAGGTGAGGCAGAGCCCTCTGCCCTAGGTCCAGTCAGCACCCTGACCCCCGTGCTGTCTCTAGCTCTTTGCAGGAGCCTTGTGCACAGCTTTTACACCAGCTCTGTAGTTTTCTGTAATCCAGTGAAGCCCTTTTCACTGCCACACTTTAATTTTGTCACCTGCAGTCTCCTCATTCCAGTACTTATTTGCTTTGTGTCCCCCCACATCTCAGCACCCGTCCCCAACATGCAGCCATCCCATGCACAGGGACAAGGTGTGTAATTCACAGTCCCGAGCCAGTATTACACTGTAGCTTCCCGTTTTTCCATAAATTGTGCTGTTTTGTCCCACCTGGGCAAAGAGATGTAAAGTCCCCCCGGTCTCAGCTGGCAGCTTTGTGCTTCTGTTAGAAATAACACCAAATGCAAACAGGGGGGACTCACATCCTGTCTGTAAGGATGGAAAGTGCACCCAGCAGTACTGAGAATTTACCTGTGGGCTGGCCAGCTACAAACCTCTTCTAATTTATTTTTTGGCAGCTGGGTAAATTAATCCATGGCTGGTCAAAATAAAGGTGCGTGCATCCTGCAGACTCATCGCTTTTATCTCAAGTACCTAACAAAATATTAACTTATTTTAGTTTAAATACCACATGTTTAAGCAATGCTGTAGAATACTTGAGGAGACCTGAGGTGAAGGAACAGGCTGCATCAGGCACAGAAATTAATTTGTCTGGGGCCTTGAAGGAAAGGTAAGCATCAAAGTCACTTTGGAGATGGAAACTGACACATTGTTAATCAGAATAAAACAGCCTGGAGCTGCAGCAGCTGAGAGGTCAGATATTCTCAAAAACAGCAGCACTTTGGTTTTCTTTTTTGTAACCTTAAGAACATAAAGGAAGAGGAAGGAGTGGGTTTGTGGGGAGCAGGTTTGCCCCACGTACATCCCTAAGGCCCCTTGTTTCAGTTGCCAGCCCCAAGAGGCAGGGTGTCCTGCCGAGACATAGCCCCATCTGTGAGGAAAGTGGAGGTGCTGCAGGGGATGAAGGGCAGAGGCAAGAGATACCTGGGATGAATGAGACTGGATGGGAAGCTGATGTTGCATACCGAATTCCCAGAGGATGTCCTCTCACTGGTGTCCGTACCATTCCCCTCAGTGCAGAGGAAAGTGGGGAGAGCCTGGAATTGGGGAGAGAGGAGGCAGAAGCCATGGTTGCCCTTGTGATCCTCACTTGGTGTGTGTCACAGGCACAAAGTACAATCCCGGTGCTGTTTGACATTACAGTGACCACACATAAAGTGTCTCGTTCCCCCTTTTCCTTTCTGTGGCAAAATAACCACAGCTTTGGGTCTGGACCTGCGCTGTGTCCTCAGGTACATGGAGCATTTGCTTTGCCCCTGCAGCCGCGGTGCGATTATATCACCCCTCTGCTTTGTGTCCGGGGGAAATGCAGGTCCGTGCCCACAGGAGTGAGACAGCAGGAGCCGTGGCATGCTCAGGAGAGCGGGACCGT